TTATCGGATGAGAATCAATTTTTATAGTCTCAGAATTCTATTTCATGGTAAAAAACAATGCCTATAAGAAACAGAACTGGGCAAGTCAGAGGCTTCTCAAGTCACAAGTCAAGTCAAGTCAATAAAAAAACTTTCAAGTCAAGTCACAACCCAAACTTTTTTTCGACCAAGTCAAGTCAAGTCAAGTCAGACTTGACTTGACTTGACTTGATTTGAGGCATTTTTGACTTGACTTGCCCAGCTCTGATCTGGACACAATGACATGAGAATATATTTTCTCTCTAGTCAAGAAAAATCTTCGCGACTTTATTTGAGAGTGGGACTATAGATATACTTGTGCTTTTAAACTCACACTCACACGCTATCATTAAAAATTACCTTTCATTGAATTAAATATAGTGCATTAGATATAATACTTCGATGTTGTTCAATACCTTCATTACAAATAATATAATCGTTATAGACAGGGCTGCCCTGAGTCGACCAACATTGGGGGGGTGTAGCGAATTTTTTTGGGAGGAACAGGCCGAGTATTACGAATTTCGGGTGGGCGTAACATTATTTTTGCTAGCAGAAAGCAAGAAAATTTTCAATTTTGAGAGCAAAAAAAACCGAAAGTTTTTGATGATTGGGGGGGTGTTACATCCCCGACACCCTCCCGGTCGTGGCAGACCTGGTTATAAAAGACTAAAACATTTCGTCTTGCAGGAGTTAGATGCAGAAATAAAGATGACTGAACTAGAATTGCTGATGTGCTTGTTTTGTTAGATACTGAATGTCTTCTATAAATATTTCATGTTCCTAACAACAGATAATATATATTTAATTGTTTTATATCGTGAAATTTCATATATAGTTAATAGAGATGTATGAAAATTACAAAACCCAATCAGCAATATCTCACATTGATTAGAGTAGTAAAAGGAAATAATTACGAAATTGAATTATAAATTGTCAATGAAACAATGATGAATGTTTCATGAATTATAAGCGACTTTCTTTAACTAAAAAATTTTTAAAATACCTCAACATCAATATAAGCATCGATAAAAATTTATTCTTTGAATAATTAATGTAATTGAAATGGTAACAATTACAATGGTTAAATACCGAATATTAACATTTATTCGTAATCATATGTCGTGTTAGATCTAGTATATAATATATTGATATATTCTTTAGTATCTGCATAAATCATAGGATTCGTCTCTTGAAATAATAAATTAACAACAATTAAAAATTCTACTCGACTTAGAATGAACTTGTTAATTAATATCAGTACAATGAAATCATTAATCTGAAAATAAAAATTAATGTTGTTTTCTATGAGATTTATATTTATTTACTTACAGTAAATACTAACGGATGAAACAAATATTAATATGATTGAGAATTCAGTTTCTATTAAATTTTATTTTTCATTTTTTTTTAAAGGTATGTCAATGATATTTATTCGTTTATATATCAACGATAAAAAAAAAGAATAAATAATATTACATCATTCGTAAAAAAAAAACTCAGTGATTTATTTAACATTAAAACATATAAATACTGCAGTTGAAATAGCAAGAATTATGCGTTACTCGAATAGTTTATGTAATTTTACAACATGTGCGTAATTTTTATTTACAATGACTCATAAACACTTGTTTTCTTTCTTCCTTATCTTATCATGATAAATCTTTTTTTTTCTTCAATGAGTATTCACCGTACAAAAATTAATATTAATGAAAACTGCTTTTTTATTGCAGAATAAAAACGATTCTATCGGTAATATATTACTTACTTTAAATGTTTTAGTATCAATCAAATGCAAGAACAAGAAAATAAATCAATTGATTATTGTGATGTTGATAATAAAGCCGCAAAAGAAAGTAAATTAGTTTTATACTTTATTTTATTTGACTTGGTATGTTTTTCTTTTATTTAGTAACAACAATCGAGATAAATATATCTGTTACAAAAAAATATACTGTATTGGAAGATTTTTCCAATGAAATAATCTATGAAATATTTGAATTTCTCGATGCTTCTCTTATTTATGAAATATTTTATAATCTTAATACACATTTTCGAAATCTTCTTATGTTTTCCATTCTTCCAATTAAATTCAATACATCACTCATATCGAAATCGTCATCTCAACGTTTCTATCAACAATTTATCATGCCTAATATACATCGAGTTAGTTCAATATATTTATCAAATGTATTCATTATCGATTTAATTTTGTCATCATTTCAAAATATTATAATATTTACTCAACTTAAAACACTTATTATTGATAATATTAATTTCGAATCTCTTAAAAATTTTCTTGAACATTTAACTTCATTATCAAAACTTTCCTTTTTAATGATAAATTCTTTTGATAAAAATTGTGATAAAAGCATAGTCTATTATCAAATATTTCGTTTACCAACATTGAAATTTTGTATATTATCATTATATGATAATGATGGATCTGATCCATTGCTTATTGCTGTTGATAATTTTAGTTCTATTGAATATCTTGTTATTAAAAATAGAGTATCTCTTAATGAACTTATTGTTCTTTTATCATATGTTCCTCAACTTCGTCGTTTATCAATCAATTGTCAATATTATTTTTATAATGAACAAAATGAAAATTTTTCAATTGTTTTAGACCATCTAACACATATTTCTATCAAATTGCAAGATATAACATTTGATCATGTTGAACCATTTATTATGCGATTTTTTAAACATCTTCAGGTTTTACATATTTCAACAAATAATGATAATGAATATTTAAATGCTAAAAGATGGAAAGCAGTGATTTTATCGTATATGCCTCAATTACGAATCTTCGATATTCAACATAAAAATTTTTCTTTTAATCATGGAATAAATAAAATTACATGTCAAACTTTGATGAATCAGTTTAATACTTCGTTTTGGACCGAACGAAAATGGTTTTTTACACATCAATATAATGGATTCGAACATTCAAGTTGTTCAATCTTCTATTCAATACAACCATACAGGTACTGACAAATTATTTTATTTTTCATACATAATATTTATCTTTATTTTATTTTGAAGAAGAAAATTCTACACATTGAGCAGTAGACCCAATCAATGCAATTGTCCAATTCATATTGAACATCGTCTTAATTCAGTTCGTCATGTTCATATTGAAAAGAAATCAACAATGAGCAATTGTTCAATGTACTTTCCGAATGCTACTGAACTTACTATCTCCGATAATCTTTATAATTCTGGTGCTTTGATTGAGTGCCCTATCAGTAGAATTATTCCTTTATCACAACTCACTAAAATAATTATTGATTATGACGTTGTTCGTACTTCTGATATAATCAAAATATTACATGGTGCACATAATTGTTATACATTAATACTTAATTCTCTATTAACTGATGAACTTGATTTGTTGTCGTTATCATGTAGTAAAACTAACCAATTTATGTTCAACAGAAATAATATTAGGAATCTTATTGTTAAATCATGGTGTACTTTTGAACAAGTTCAACTGTTGGTATGCCTTTGTCCACGATTGCAACATCTTACTGTCAGTATATTACAAGACGATTTTCGATCGGCTATAAAATATTTATTAAGAAATAATGATAATACTCGTCAGTTGTTTTCATTGAATATTAAAAGTTCTGGAGATATATGGATTGAAAAATTGATGAATATAATTCTAGAAGAGAGACAACTTAATGAAGTTTCTGTAGAAGTCATTGGTTATTTTCAATGTTATTTATGGTGGTGACACATGTTTATAAGGAAAATATCTTGTTTTTTTCATCGTTTATTAATTTGAAATAAAAAAAAAAAACTTTCTGTTATTATATGTCGATTTTCAGAAAGTAGGGTACTAGACCTTCTGATTCCTGTTGTCAGATCTGAGAGAGATATATTCCAACTGCCTAGCAGTAAGATAGAAAAATATTAAACAATTCATTAATGAAAATCGAAAGACTTTATATTTTCAAAGGGTTTCATGAATGAAGAAATACGAAGAGTTGCTTTTTTGAGTGGTTGTATGTCGTTTGCAAAACATGAGTATGAGAAACTCGAGATAATTTACTTTGGAAACTGTCGAAATTCTTTGTCATCATTCTTTGAGAACATTATATTGAATAAGAATAGATCGAATGAATTGACTTTTTTTTTTTAAATAGTTTTCTAGTATCATTACAAAGAATACACCGTATAAAATACAGCTTTTTATAGCTTCGATTAACTTACTATTGAATAATTTTGGGGTTAAGATTTGTAAGTAGAGGATGCAGGTGTGGGCATGGTCGACGAGAATACCCGTCCCTAAATATCTTCTCAGCTGTACTGATACCCACACCGTCAGAGATAGTCATATGTCATTCAGGAAATCATACTGAAGAAGTGAAGTTTTTTTGAAAAACAGTATTTTTTTTAGTGAAGTATGCTTAAAAAATGCTTACCCATCTTTTTTTCAAGAAGTATTGTTTTTGAAGAATATTTTGTGGATTTGATACCATTCGATATAGTTGAATGTGCTGATTTTGAGTATCGTCTTGATATTTCTTTGAAGTGTTATATGGACACCTAAACAGAACTTCTAATCACAAGCCTTGGTTTTTGAAAAACCTACAGAGTAGCCTAGAAAAGCCATCACAACTTGGCAGTACTAACATCATTAGGATATATATGTATGAATGTCTAATAAAAATTTGAACTTAACCACACGTTATCCCTTCATAGATTTTACAAAGTTTATGACAGGAGGTTTTTGGGCTAGATTCAATATTAATAGTAGACTATAACTTTCTTAAAAATCTGTCATGTATATATTACCCAATATAGTCCGATGAGTTGATCTTAAGTATCATGTTAGTTTTCCTGCAAAGCGAAATATAGATTCCTAAGACCAGATTTCCGGTTAGAATGCTCAAATTTGTGGGGACCTTCTTAACTAACCTAGGATAGGTTTCAGGAGCTGACACTATTACTATCAATAGGTACTTATATAGAAATATGTGGTAGAAACTTGAGCTTGATTTGAAGCTAATTGCGTGTAGCATTCACAAAATACGAAATGTCAACTGATGAGAAATGTTTTCGCTGCCGTAAGTTTCTGTTGTCTCCTCTATGTTAAATTCAAATAAGATTATTCTTTTTTCAAGATAAAACCCATAGATGAGTAATTTTTTTTATGATATTATTCGTTTGTGGAATATTGCATCATATTACTTAACATCTCCTTCTTTCCTAATTAAGCCGATTTATGAGCTAAACCCTTAACATGCTCTTGTTTGAGACTCTGTAAACTTTGAAAAATGCTATTGAATGAAACGATAGATCATATATGAATATGTGTGTTTATTCAATTGCTGACATTCTGTAAAACTAGATTTTCATATATAAACATTTGACTAGCCACTTTGGATCAGGCAGTGAGATGCACCATGAGAAAAATTCCACCGAATGCAAAATCGATGATGAGTAGCATCTGTTTTCCCATCTACTCTCACAAAATGTTCGAAGAGTAGAAAACATAATGATAAATATTCACCTTATCCATATGCTTTCTGATACGAAACGTTCGAATGCGATTACGATTTGTTATGCTTTGACTCGCGTCGCGTGATATATGTGATGGATCGTAATAGTGTGAACATGGCACAGATGGATTACCATCAATTTAGCTGAAACAGAAAACTTTACCGGGATATGTTCCCTAACGTATCATATATGACAAAAGTTGAAGTAGCTATTAACTAATAATAATATACGTCAATGGTGTAGCGGCAAACACATTTGTCTCATAAGCAAAAGACTCAGGTTCGACTCCTGGTTGACGTTGACTTCTTTTTCTTTCTCGATCACTGTATACACACATTGCGTAGCAGTTATTATTGTTACTTGCCAAGTAACAGATCTAGATTCTGTTTCTCTTATCTATATGTGACGCAATATTTTCGTTGAACTACAATTGCGATTTAATAATACAATGCAAAATGAAGAGCTAACAGTTGATACTCTCTGTTCTTTTTTCCTTGATCACTTTTCATGAAAGATTGTCATTCTGGTAAAGTTGGATAACATAATTATTTTCCGGATGGTGATACTTCAAACAAATGCTTGATCATTTGAAAATGTTCATTTTTTTTATGGAGTATCACATTGTTCAAGTTGATACTCTTTCCAACAAATGCAGTGTTCCTCATATAGTGTAAAAGGATAAATAAAACATATTTTTCATCAGCAAGAATTGAACGTTTTCTTTGGAAAAACACAAGAAATTAATATAATTAAGCAAGAAACAACTTATCTCTGTTCGAAAAACATTTATGACTAATACATTTCAATTTGTTGCGAAATTACACGAGTTACACTTGTTAGTATTGCACCATTTCTTGTTTTTCTCACTCAATACAGAACATTATAAAACAAAATCAACACATTGATAATATTGATAATATACTTCATCTTGATGATACTTTTCACACTATTTGACAGTGAAGCAAAATAACATTTATTCATTTTATTTTATTTTATTTTATTCTGCATATGCTATCATTGATTTGGTAGTAGAATAGATTAACAAAAAAAAAAAGAATTGTATCGTTGAAAGAAAGTTGGTAATAGACGGATAATGAGTCCAATTGATTTGAATCAGAGGCTTAGAGGACTCACAACTAGGAAAAGTAGAACTCACATAAATAAAGATGAAATGCAAACTCATAACAGAAGCAAAGGAGCTAAACAATGCTTTATAAAAACAGACGCGTAGTCTGAAATTTTCTAAGAGAGAGAGAGGGTTAGTATTCCAAGAAGAACACCCTTACCCATGGCTGTGTTCTTACACACAAAATATTCTAGTATGCGGCTTTTCTTGCAGACTCAGACATCATTGAAACTTATGAGAGAAAATATCAAAATGCTAAATCATGTTTTGTTTCAACATATGCCTGTTTGATTAGTCATTGTAAGTAAGCAAAAAATCTTGAATGCGTTCGTTGTCTAGATCTGTTGAGATGTCGAATTTTTTTCTCCTCAAATTTTTTCAGTTATACCCATCATATTTCGAATGGTACTAGTTCACTGTTACAGTTCTATTTATTGTAAAATTTGGACTTCTGAAATATGAATATTGATTCAAATGCTTTATACCTCATAACTCAGAATCAGACATAATTGAACGAATCAAACTTTTACAGTGAAACTTCTAAGCTTGTTATTTACCTATTACTATTAACAGAAATCAACGCAATAGAACCAGTCGTACTTCTTAATCATACTCTAGTATAATTCTATCTTTATCTCAACATATTCGGCTCAGTTGAAAATTTCAAAAGATATACGCCAGACTCTAGAAAGCTTGTAGTAAACAATTCCATTCTAAGTATTATGTTGTTCAAAAGTTATTCTACTGTGATGGGCCAAAAATTGTGTCTCCGCATGTTCTAATTTTTGCCTTCAAATCGAATGATAAAGGCTTTAGATTGGTGTCAAAATGCAGTCAATACTTGCTGTTACAGTTTAACAAAAGTCAGTTTAAAAAATATTTTTGATGTTGAAAATCAATTGTTCGCTTGTTGTAAGATTCTACGAACAAATTCATTGAAAGAATGTGTCAGGAATGTTTTACACATTCTAATGATATTCTCCATGTTGAAAGTCTCTAGGGACGCTTAAAGACTTTGATAAGTCATGACTCCCAAATCATTCTTCGGATTGTAAGTATTCAGGACAATCTCTATAAACTCATCAGATGCAATTATGAAAAAAAATGAATTGTACTGCTTTTAGAGGTAGAGAAATCGGACTAATCAGTCATATGAATACTCAGAAATCTATATCCTGAACAAAAATTGGAACTTCTAGCAATGGATAGAACTAAAATTCAAATTACTCAACTTCGAAGTATACAACTCAGAAAATAGATTAATTCAATATTCTCGTTCGAATACATGCAAAGTCGATCAATGGTAACTGTAAAAGAAATAGTATTGAAAAATAAAAGTATTTCAAATTTCAATCATGGGCATTTGTAAATATGTAAATATTAATAGGTAAGTGCAGCTAATGTGTGAGAGATCTTGGATTTATTTGATTTGAAAAGAATTCATATGAGCTTTCAACTTATGAAGAGGTCATCATCAGATACACAACCAGAAAACACTGAAACAAAACAACACGAACGAAACACAAACAGAAACACAAGCTAGACAACAGAAACACAACCTCTTCATAGGTCGAAAGCTCATATGAATTCTTTTCAAATCAAATAAATCCAAGATCTCTCAAACATTAGCTGCACTTACCTCTTAATATTTATATAAAAATATTTTTTTTTGAAAACCGGAAAATAGAATTATCCAAATTCCCTGCATTGTTCTCCGCTAAACAATCATTCAGGCTAAATGGTTTTTTTTACAATAACCTCAATCAGAGTGAAGTACGTAGATACAAAAATACTTCGTTAATTTTAGGAAATTTGTCTCAATAGAAAAGTACATGCAAATAATTGATTTTTCATAGTGATTTTAATATTTCGGCTGTGCAAAGAGAAGAAAGTTGTATTTTCCGAAAAGAAAAATAAATGAATTTTTTTCTGAACTCATTTTGTCATCAGAACAATGTCGAGTGTGGAAACTTTATTTTTAGACTCTGTATATCCATCAAGGCAACATTTACTCTTCTTGTTAGGATCTATTCAGTGTGAAAAATCTAGTATCCATATTTGCCGAGAAATTCTTCAGACATCACGAAAGAGGGTTCAATGTA